TAATGCTTCTCAAAGTTGGCATACATGTATTTACACAACAATATAAATATATTGCCTAGTTGTCTTTTAAAGTAAGCCTCTCTTTTCCTCTCCCATCCCTGTTTTGTTTCCCTCTGTCCCTCCCTTTTCATCTCTCCATCATCTCTTGATGTTCTCCATGACTGTAACCCTCTATGAAGCGAGTTAAGATCTGTCTCACAGATTAGCCTGATGGTGGATCTATACACATCAACAGCAGCATGACACCCACAGCTGTACAGACACATACAATTACAGAAAAAACACTGCCAGCTTATGCTTCATTTACAGCTAGAGCTTATTCAGAATGTAAAATACTCAGTAAACAAATATAAGACTACAATGTTAAGTTCCCGTTGACAGACAGAAAGTTCAATATAAACTTATTCTGTAACATCAAATTTGAATGGTAGAATGTCACGGTTTCCATATTAAGCAGAACAATACAGTTTTTAACACTGATAAAAATACTCAGTTTATATTGAACTTTCTGTCTGTCAACGGGAACTTAACATTGTAGTCTTTTATTTGTTTACTGAGTATTTTACATTCTGAATAAGCTCTAGCTGTAAATGAAGCATAAGGTGGCAGTGTTTTTTCTGTAATTGTATGTGTCTGTACAGCTGTGGGTGTCATGCTGCTGTTGATGTGTATAGATCCACCATCAGGCTAATCTGATGGTGGATCTCATAATAAGAAATGTTTCATTTCAGCATATAAATCAGCATATCAACATGTTAGCATATTAGCATAGATTTCTTCTGTCAGAGATACAAAGTCAGTTGATCAAGCTGTCTGTGTCTAAGCAATGTGTTTGATTTTGAAGGAAAAATTCTTGGGTATTATCCTAAAAATGGAGGGCTAGTTGCTTTTTTTTGCTATCCTGATGGTAGCGTTAGTTCTGGTTGTGATGCACCTCCCCTTCCCCTTCCCCATGGAGTTTATAGGTTACTGAAAGATTTCAGCAGCTGCATGTAAGAAGATTAGAGAGGAATTAACGTCATTCCTTTGTCATTATAGAAATAAATTGATATTTGGTTTTAATCGTAGGGAGGGGGATCGCAGGAGAGCAACATGGTCAGAAGAGCAGACAGGCTTTTAGGCAGGGTGGGAATCGCAGACCGCCAGCCGTATACACACTAACACACATGCACAAAAGCAGAGCTCAAAGGATTTCAAATGGGACCGTGTAACTTTTGCTGCCCGGTGTGGATCTAAGGGCCCTTGTGTAGGAATGGGCGGCACTACGAGAAGGAAAGGATGCTGGGTAAGGAACTCCAGAGAGTTAGACTGATCCCGCACCGTCTCTCTATTTCTCCCCGCATCAGAGAGGCACTACGAGGACAGCTGGGATAATTTCAGGAGATAGAGAGAGGGAAAAAAGGAGAGACAATGAGGTGCTGATGGGAATCGTGATACGTTTTTCTGATGGAAATCACACACTTTAAGTTTCACACTATGACAGCAATTTTAATGATCACTATTACGTAAGCAGCAGGAAATTACCATAAATGTTAGATGAAAATCTATATAAATATATACGTAGATCTTTTCTTTAAAATGATATTATACATAACACTTTATTCTCTGAAAGTCTCGTTCCCACAAGCTTTTTAAGCTGATTACTTTGTATGAAACATGCTGTGCCGATAAAGATATCACCCATACTTGCTGCTGTTATTTCCTAGTATATGTCCATTGAGATAACTCACAGAACGGTGTTAAGCACTGTGTTCTGTTACATTGGCTGAACTCAAGATCAAGAGCTTTAAAAGTCAACGTGGGCCAAATGATCAGAATGTGACTCTGCCGCTGAGACTGTCAAAAATGTAGGTTAGAAAATCGTATGCGATGTGTCCAAATCAGAAAAAAAAACACTCTGACCCACATTGGTAGTAGTGCCAAGCAGACAATACACAGAGGACAGCTGTGTTTTATGCACAGTAATCTGCATTATAATCCCAGTGGCTCTCTGAGAAAGCCTGAGAGTGTAGCTAAATCTTACAGGCTAGCCAAAGGTCGCTGTTTTTAAAATAAGAACATAGAATGGTATGCTGTTTTTTCAATCAAATAATCTTCTTGTCTGAGACTTTCTGTTCGAACTGCGATTTTAGGTCCATTTAGGTGAATGTATTTGTGAAGCAACAACTCTGTAAGAAAGGTATATTGTCAGATGATCTCATATATCATACAGTAGTTTGATATGTTCATGTCCACGTTATTTGTAAACTACCAATATACTGTTTAGCATTGTACTAAATGATATTCCAAGGTGCTTTAAAGAATAACATGGTATATATCCGAAAAATAGTACCATAGTAGTTGTTTGTTATTTTGTCTGCTAATAACTACATGTGAACATTGAGATTGAGTTGTATTTCAGTCCAGATTAGGGGAACATCATTTGTGCTGGTGGTTCTCTGAAAACAGCGAGAGGCTGATAATCACACCGAGTCATGTGCACTGAGTTAAGTCTCTGTTTGTAGGAAGCTTAACATCGCTTTTCAGATTTTATGTGGTTGATGACGCAGTCATGAGACAACTATTTGACACTTTATATGTAATTTCTTTGTTAGTCAGTGATAGTCAATTAAATGTCTTATAAAAAAAGAATAAAAATATTATAGTAATAGAGTTTAATTTGTATTCTGAATAAATAATTCGCATTTTCAAGCTACGAACTCTGGAATTTTTCATAGCAGTTTTAGGTTTTGTGGTAAAATCAGATTTTTAGATGATTTTTAGATGCAGAGATGATTCAATAATGGATAAGAATGAGACACTTTAAATTCATCTGTTCTACTTAGAGAGATTACAACTGGTCTCCATGTGTTTGTTTGACGTGATGCAGCTGTGACTTGAGAGACTGATGTTATGTACAATTCCCTTGAAGAAAAACAGCTGCCACAAAAAGATTCACAGCAGAGTGCTTAATGCAGATTGACACAACCATGATTGTTAAACATACGTTTGTCGAGTCATTCTGTTATGACAATGCCAATTACATAGTCCTTCTCTCACAAATATTTACTCATTTGATTTGATTACTGCTTCCACTGATGGATCTCAGAAGTAAATAGTTGGTGATTTGAGAGTTTGATAGTTTAGCATTACATAGACAGGCTACAATTTAGGGAATCAGACTGTATTGTTTCTTCAAGGTTACACCTTGTGAAGAAATATTTGGAAAACAGAAATGCAATTGTGTTGGCATGTGCATGGGATAATTTCAATAATAGATAAAAACAACAAAGGACACAAATGTGGTAACATATCCTTAATTTTAAAAAAAATACAACTGACAGAACTTATAATGTGTATCTTTAACTATTGTCATTTGAACAAGCCCATAGCTACACTGATTTAGGTCTTTCCAGCCTTAACATAAGGCTTTTCGGGAGTTGGACATGACAAATTAATGACTCACAGTTAGGTAAATGAGTCAGATCAATTGAGAAACTATTCCAACTGAATCATAAATGATTCACTAGGAAGGACAGGAATCAGAAGACATTTTGATTAGAAATCAGACTTCACTGGTTGCGCTGTATGTTTTTGATTCACTAAAAAAACTAGCACAAAAGAGCTTGTGACATGAATCAGACTTCACGCTGTATGTTTCGTGCTGAATAGCAGGCAGCACTTTCAGAGTATTTTAGTAAGGTGTCCTGTACATCAGAAGCAGAAGGATGCATGCTTATGGTATTTTTTTTATGGATCCGATTCTAGATAAGAACCAGTTTCAGTTCCCAAACTTACAGAGGTAAAAGGTTGATCTGACTAAAAATGCTCAGATCATTTGATGCTAGATGAGTTTAAAGAGACATGTTTGAGCTCTAACTGACTTTCATACATCTGTGCACAGTTTTGAGAGAAACTGACTGAAACTCTAGCAGCATAGGCGGAGCGTGTAAGCCTTCCCCTGGCCACGGGGACTTGGGGCAAAAATGCCACTAAATTGAACAAAAATGCCCCTGCACAAACAAATTAAATCTATTACGTCTGTTGCTAACAAAGTGAATATGAATAGACAGTGTCGATTGCGGCATTAAATTAAGATCTGCTCATGTTGCACTGTATTTCATTTTAGGCGTTTTTACAGTGTTGCGCATTTTAACCAATCACACACATATCTGTTGAGCTTAGGAATGCAATGGCCAATCAGAAGCGTTCAGCTGAGTCATCGTTTAAACTCATCAGTTTTGTTGAGTGCACGCGCGTTCGCTGACTGAACTCCGGACTCTTGCGATTCTCTCATCATAAACAACAAAGCACAGATATACGTACAATGTAATTAAGAGATTAATTTAACAGAGTATACAGCTTCAGTGATTATAACGATAGTTACATTTTTTTAGAGTGCTTAAACTCGCGATAGATCAATGTTAGTGATAATGTCACTTTCTATATATAATTTATTCGCTGTTTGAATAACCGTGG